CCCCAAAACCCCAAAACCCCAAAACCCCAAAACCCCGGGTATTAACAAATATATTGGATTATTTAACAATAATATTATTATCATGGAGACAGGGAATCAGATATCCGCATTAATATTTGAAAGAGCCGGCTGAAAGAAAGTGTCATTCAATATGCTAGCAAGTCAGTTTTTGAGTAAGATCACTAAATTAAACTGTATAGTATGCCTTCCTATTGTTGCAGGAGGTGTTTTCAGCACTCTTCTCGCAAATAAAGGCCATAGTGTCCCGATGCTCCAGCTCACACTGCTCTATCTTTTCCTTTGCTTATGGTTGGGAAAGTATCTGCTTGGGCCAAGGAATCTTAGATTAAAGCAAATATTGATGATCTCTGTTACAGGAATCTTGGATTGACATGCTAATTTTATGATAGTGAAAGCCTATTCTCATACAACTATTACAAGTGTTATGATTCTAATGGTATTTACGGTACCATCTGCTGCTTTGTTATCAATGCTATTTTTGAGGGTCAAATACAGCTGGCTCCATCTTGCTAGTTGCGCCCTCAGTATAGTCACTGTCATGGTTGTTGTTATCTGAGATATCTTTGAATACAGACATACGGAGAGAAAAGGAAAAGCAAGTATCGTATTTGGAGATCTCTTGTGAGTGGTTGGTGTGTTTCTCCTAGCCTCTACTAATGTATACCAAGAGTGGCTAATCCAAAAAGATATAAAAATTAGTGAGATTTTGGCATTCCAAGCCCCTACTGGCATCATTTTTGCAGTTCTTGAGGCTTGGATAATTGGAGAATTTTCGAACATTTCCTCAGTTGAGTCAAAGAATGCAATTGCTTGCTTTTTGTCCATCCTGGGTTTTGCTTGAGTAAACTTCATTTTATACATATTCGTTCCTTATTTTATTTCAATTGCTGGTGCAACTCTTATGAACGTAGGAAACCTTACTGCTTCTGTATACTCTATGCTATTTGATATATTCTTATTCAATGGCCGCTTTAAATGGTTTTATTTGGTTGGATTTATTTTCCAAATAATTGCTATTTTCATGTTCAGCATTAAAGAGCCAATATACAAGAATAGGCAAAGAAGAGGTAAGAATTTGGATAAAAGCTTAGCCCAGAGTTCCATAAAATATCTAAACAAATCATTATATTCTTCGATAATGCCTAACCAAGAGTTGTTGGAGGCAATACTACTATAAACCTGCATATTTCTTTTAAATTCCTGGCCTCTTTCTGATTAACGACCCATAATTAATCTAAAAGAAACTCTCTAAATTTTGTTATTATAGATTGAAGCATGGAAGATGGGTCTCATATACTTAATGAAGAAGAGACTGAAGTTGGTTGTGATGAGATATATCCTTCAATAAACTAACTAAGCTCTTGGTTGCTTGAATTTGTGCCAAATATCTCTATCTCTGTCATTAGCTTAGTCTGAACTAATCTCTGTTGGCTTACTTTTCTTCTTAAAGTTTTAGCGGAAAGGGCCAGTCTGAATTTTCAACATTTAAATATTTTAGGGGTTTTGGGGTTTTGGGGTTTTGGGGTTTTGGGG